ACAAAAATGTCTGGGAAAGGATCCCAGCCAGGACAGGAAAGAAGTGAGATAGAGTGCGGAAACTTCTGCAAATAGAAATATAACCTCACAGGAAGTGATGAAGTGATCTGGAAAGTGAAAGTATAAAGGAGTAGAGGTGCACCGACAGGAAATATTGAGACCGAAAGCGAAAATAACAAAAAATGTCAGGCCAAAACCGAAAATCAGTTTTTTTTTTAACCTTTTTAAATATTTTATTTTCCTAAAAACGTTTAATTTTTTTAATTTATGGAAGGAATGATGTCATGCATGACGAAATACAACAGCACACTGATTGTGTTGCTGACTGTAACTATGTCTTTTGAGCACTAGATGGCGCTGTGGTGCACTTTCAGTCTCTGATTTATCTGTTTGTCTATGATTTATGTGTTTCCTGTTTGATGCTGCAATCCTCTATACATGGACGTAATATCCTTCCAAAGCAAGTAAAACTTAAGCATTCCTCAAGATCCCTGCGCTTCATCTAAACACACAACCAACAACGCATACTTACATGCAGCGGCTGATCCCAGGCTCCAGGATGATTATATTCCTGTACCATGACCCTAGGGGTTTATGAAACCTTTACAGTCCATCGGCTCCTCAATATCTAAATGTTATCATCGGCTCCAAACGTTGTTCCTGCACAGATACAATAAGATACAATAAGAAGAGAAGGACTTCAATCTCACACACCGGATGCATCAAATGGTTTTGCCGTTTGAGTACCATCAGGGAGATTTCCCTTCACTTCCTGTCCCAGAGACACAGTAATAAGAGAAGATCTCTTCAAAGCAAGGGTATATCCCTTCTTAGGGCTTGTTCACACCAATTGCAGTGTGTTCCAGAGCGGTAGCTGCTGGAATGCACCGCAATAGCTCACAAAACCTCCCTCTGCAATCTGGTGCGGGAGAGGGCGTGGCGGTGCATTGAAGGCAATGGCACCGCAGCCACGTCCCCCCCGCAGTGCGATCGGACGCATGGCAAAACACTGCCTGCGTTTCGTTCCACTGCAAACGCAAAAAATAGGGCATGCAGCATTTTTTGTGTTTTGCAGTGGAACGGAATGCAAGCAATGTTTTGCCACGCGTCCGATCGTACTGCGGGCAGAGAGGGGGGGCTGGCTGCGGTACCATTGCCTTCAATGCACCGCCACGCCCCCTCCTGTCCCAGAACGCAGTTTTGTGTGCAATTGCGGTGCGTTCCAGCAGCTACCGCTCTGGAACGCACCGCAATTGGTGTGAACAAACCCTCAGTCATTTAACAGCTCCCTATATACTGTGCCTAGGGTGACGGGAGGACGCTAGTTTGTGTGCTCCCATTACCCTTAGGAGAACTATAGGAAAAGCCTTAACCCCATAGTTCTCCTTTAACCCTTTTGGGGTTTTTGCAGGTTTATTTTGCACACGTTAAAATGCACATTTTAGGCCTGAAGATTAATTAACCCCCCCCCCCCCAACTAATAGGTTGGACTTGATGGACTAATGTCTTTATTCAACCTCAAATACTTTGTAACTATGTAAACCCAAATATTCAGTAAAAGATACATAAACCCTCCTAAGTGATAGCACTTTATTGGTGACAGGTCCTCTTTATGGAGACATTAGGGTGTCTATTAACCAGTTGACATCCGCGGTGTTAAACCCCCTTCCCAACCTTATGGCACATTTGCAGCTCACTGAAGCTGATGAAGCACAGGCAGGGAAGAGTTACATCCTCTGACAGTTTATTTTGTTGCTATATGTGTACTAATGGGGAAACTTTGCTTCACTTCCTTTCCCTCTTGGGCTCACCAGACACGTTACACTCTGACCATCCAATCTCTGTACCATGTAGTACAAGGGCCGGCCTGATTGTATACAGATTGGATGGATAGATCAGGTGGGTGCTCATATTACACAGATACAAATCTCACTACAAATTAGTAAACTAAACATGAGATTGTAGTCCATCACGGGAGTGAGCTTGGAGCGGTGACTACTTTACAACACACACAGGGACCATGAGGACAGAAGTAGCCCCCCTCCAGAAGGAAGGACAGTGTCAGCACCAATTCAGAGATGATTGGAGGATCTACAGCCGAGTGATACACAAATAAGATACATTTTGGTTAATAGTTCAGGGACTTGAATGTGTTTTTAAAGTTTATCTCCTGAGTTTAGCGTCACTTTAACTTCTAACATATAACATAAAACTAACAAAAATGTACAAAAAAACAAACAAAAAGGAAACATTGTTACACTTCGGGCTTGTTCACACCAAATGCAGACCAGATCTGCACGAGTTTCTGCATACACAGTGCAGTGTGTTATACTGCGTTTTTTCCCCGCGGTTTTTCCCCCCTTAGTTTAAATAGGGCTTCCAGTGCGTTCCAGGGCGCTTGCATGCGTTTTTTATGCGTTTGCATGCGTTCCAGAGCAGGTAAAATAGGGCTTGCTGCAGTTTTTTTTACATGCCCTGGAACTGAATGGTGCGTTGTGAACTAGAGCCCAAAATACCATTGGAATACATTGGACGCAGTTTTGATCCGGACTGTAACTGCTCTGCTCCTGGAACGCGCTTGGTGTGAACAAGGCCTTCAAGTTCCAGAAAACAAACTGAAAGAAACAAGTCACCAGTTTTCATATCACACATGTCCTGGGCTGAAATGTGAGGACATCAGGTCAGTCCCAAGGCTGTCCCTGTGAACATCATATTACACAGATACAAGCTCACTACACATTAGTAAACCAAACTGTATGAAGACTTCCTGACACTCACCGATCATAGAACCTGCTCGTCAGTCCATGTCTGTCCTTCATCAGTCCGTGTCTGTCCTTCATCAGTCCGTGTCTGTCCTTCATGGATCCCGCTTGTCACTCCCGTGTCTGTCCTTCATGGCTGATCTGAGGAAAACGAAACTAACATGTAACACTCTCTGAGTCATGCTGAGAACATTCCCAGAGCTATAAACATCGCTCACAGCCCTCAGATCACACCCGACCATACAGTCCTACACATCACCGACGACACAGTCCTATACATGGCCGACCACACAGTCCTACACATCACCAACCACACAGTCCTACACATGACCGACCACACAGTCC